ACATGTAGTCTGCAATATGACTGGAACAGAGGAGGCGATTAGACAGACAGCCCAGGGAGAGGTGGCGCCTGTCATGTGGAATGGATCTCATTAAAAGTATGCCCCAGGTCACACTTTGATGGACAGGGAGACGTCAGTCATCTGCCAACTAGATTAGCAGAGACTGAAGCCCCCGTCCTTTCTCTCTGCCCCTTGAGAGCCCGCAGCATACCAAGTGGGTCCAGGCAGACTCTTATGTGTGCCCCGCAGCCTCCGTCAAACCTCTCACCTCTGGCTTGCCACTCACAGAAACAAACCAGCATATCCTCAACCTCTAAACCGAAGGAAAAAACCCACCTGCTGTGTCAAAAGGCAGGTGGTAGAGGACCTTTTCTTTTCCACCTTTTCCCTTGTGTATGAGTTTGTTTTTCAGGCTCAAAGGCCAAGTCCTGTCTGCCTTGTTCTGGTGTATTTGTATGAAAAAGAGTCTGAACAATCCAAATACTTTGTTGAGAGTTGAACATGCTTTTGTTAAAACCTGATATTATAATTCACAGACTGCTGAAATCTAAAACTTTCCTCTCTAAAAGCTCACTAAATTAAGGTAACCGGCAACATTTTTTTATATGGTCAAACAGAATAACTTATTCAACTCATACACAGTTATACATTTTAGTGAGGCCTTCTCTGTGAATCATCCGTTGCACACAGGAAGTGATGCATTTGTCCAGCAATAGTGGTTTATTTAGTACAAAGAATTCTGAAAGCTTGACAAGAAAAAACAAATCCAAACTATCCCTTTACTCACCAAGAGCTGTCTTCAGCAGTGGAAAGCAATGCCAAAGTTGACTCTTATTTTGAGTCTATTTCTATCACATCTTTCTTTGCCACCAAACGTTTTTTTGCCCTTGAAGCAGTGCAACTTCTCCATCCTCTCATGTTGGACTGAGGGCAGACTGGACGCTACAGTGAATCACTATCACCTTCTGAGGTACAAAGTGGTATTACGAGACAGGACAGGCCACACGCTGGTTGTAACTTCATAATGAGAATGGTATCCGTCCTCTCATCTAACGCTCTGCAAGAAAGCAAATAAGCACATTTCCCAAAATGTCAGCGGACTGGATTTCTTCACCAGTTCCATCAGTACATGCAAATTCAGATTCAGGATAAAGTTAATTTAAACTTGCCAAAACAGTTTCCTCATAATTTGACTGTCTTTTTTGCTTTTTTGGAAAATGAAGGGCAAACACTGATTGATTGCAGCAAACTGTAAGATATAAATACCCTTGTATACTTAGCATGCAGTATACTTCTATTGCCTTTCTCTTTATTCAGTCACTTCTTCTTTTTGGTGGTGTTACAGGAAAAAGAACATGCGCTGTAATCATACAGTGACCTACTGTTTATCCCAACATTCCCAAGAGTTCATGTCTCCAGCAATAGACCAGTGGCATGATGCCCAGGACAGGGGCCATGGATGGCTCACTTTGACAAGCATGCTAGTCAAGGCTGTGCTAGCTTCACTCAAAGCAGATCAGGATTCTCAACCATCTCTAACACGCTGGCTGACGTAATACACAGTCCATTTGAATTACGTCTAAATCTGGGGCTGGTAAAATTGAGAAATAGTTTTGGCAAAAGATGGAAATAATTCGGGCTATTTACAGAGCTGAGGATGGGTGCTACGAAATGTGTCAGTGTTTAATAACCCTCATCAGCATTTCGTTTTGTGACAACCTGCACAGATATATGAAGTATCCCACATTTAATCCATGCTGGACACTGACCAGCATGCAGTGTGTCATGCTTCGTGCATCCATGTGATAAAGGCCAAAGGTAGTCAAGAAAGATATGAGGCAATGTTGTCTCCATCCTCCGTGCCCAGCAGCTTCTGTAGAGAGCTCCAATTGTGAGCATGCCATTGCTGGCAAACATTAACAAACAAATCTTTTCTACTGGTACATTCTGTTTCCAGGAAGTAGCCACAGCCTCACACTCCGACATGACAAAAGTTCTTGTCTTCTTCTTTTCCATCTACTCTACTTTTATATATAAGCAACTGCCAGGGATCAAAATGGAAGCATTACCATGACCACTCCTAACAGATTTACAATCTTACTTGAGCACTATTTAACTTGCTTTAACACTGACACATACTTTCCTGTCTGGGCTTTCCTTAGCTGTATGTGCTCGTGGTTGAGCTTGTTTAGCACTACGAACTCATATACTAGACTCAACCTGATTTGCTGCGGGTGATACTTGCTCTTGTACATAGTCGTTGCCCTCTTTCCGTACATGCCAAATCACTGCAAGAGAATACCGAAGACTTCTTTTGGGGGCTCGCCAGGTTGAATTCATGTACCAGAGTCATACAGTAGAAGCTTTCTCGTTAGCATTTGGACACTATTCCTGGCTGCCAGCATACTTGCTGCTGCTGTTTAGTTGATATTTAGACTTCTTTAGTGTTAATAATTGTCTGCAGGTCAATTTTTATTATTTCTCCTAGTCATATATGGGAGATTTTTGTTTATTTGCTGTAAAAATAATACAGTTCACAATTATCCACAATTTTATAGGTCCGGTGTGTAGGATTTAGTGGCATCTAGCGGTGTAGTTACAGATCGCACTCACTTGTTTCACGCCCCGTTTCCAACCACAAGGGAGAAACTACGCCGACAGAAAAATGCAGAAAACGCAAACAGCCCTATCAAAAGCCAGTTTTTGGTCTGTCCATTCAAGCTACTGTAGAAACATGGCGGGTCAAAATGGCGGCCACCGCGGTAGGCGTCTCATTCTAAGATAACGAATACACAATGATGTCTTGAAAGTATACTTTAAAGTGATTTTACACTAATGAAAACGTACCTATCTATATTATGTTTAATTTCTACCAATGGATCTTCATAAATGTTTACTTTAAATAAAGTAAAACACTGATTGATAAATTATCAGGTTTAGTCTACAACTTAATATTCGTTAATGAATATGAGTATAAATTGTTTTACTTACACTCAATACCAGCACATAATATCCTGCCCTGTATTTAAGGCTGAGGCAACATAACATTTGAACTTCTGTGCAAAATAATTGCCTTGAATTCTTTGTCACGTTGACTGAGGGGTCAGCGGGGCCCAGCAGTGGATGTGATATCAGCCCTGTTTTCCTGCAGGATTGTGACTTTTAGACATATTTGCAACATGAGCTACCCCAGAATGCTGTGCTGGGACTTCCCTCCTGAGATACCCAGGACCTGGGTCACTGTCACTGACACAACCTCTCACCTCTCCAGGATTTACGTGCCTAACCAATGTTATGTAAACCGATACATATGGGAAATGTTAAGTGGAATGCACGCTTTGTTGTTTTCCTTTTGAAATGTCTTGACGACTGTCTGAAGCATGTTAATTTGTGTAAAACATGGTAATCAATTAGTTGAGGTTATTAGTATAATGTGGATTCAATTCAAATGAGAGCCATCAGGGGCTGAGAGATGCCTGAGGAATGGTAAACCTTGGTACTTTCTGTACCACAAGATATTATGGGGAGAGGTTGAACACAATGCAGCAGTAATCACAATAGATTTACTAATCCCTTCCTGAAAACAGCAGGGGAGAACCCCACATGCAGCTCTCCCTGGGGCACCAAGACCAGCCACATTTCTATGGTCCCTTCTGCACTTGCCAGCAATATGGCTTTTTTTGGGGGGGGTTGGTGGAAACCCCTTATTATCCAAACAATGACTATCAGACTTGTAAATGTCAGGAAATGGCTATTTGACAGACTGAAAGAGGGAAGGAGGATGGTGGGATGCTTTTAGCAAACCAACAAATTAACCGACCTCGCAGTGCATTCGGTTTAAGAGTGTGTGTTAAGTCTTTACTATGGTCTGCAGGTTTGCATAGACTGCATATATGAGTGCAGGCACCAATCTGTGCAAGGCAACTGTAGACATTTAATACATAAAAATGAGGAAGATTGTGTACCTAGACCCAACAAGGCACCATTATGGCATCAAGAACTTAGACAATTGTGATACATAGTAATGAAATTATGTTTCAGTTACTGCAGTTTATTGTTCATTTCTATTATATGCCATAAATAAATGTCAATACAAATAGTGAAATGCCAACAGCAGCAAAACTACAAGTCTATAAATGGTCTTCTGATTCCTCTGAGGTGTTAAGTGTTGTTTTCTTCACTGCATAGATTATAACACATTTTAGGTATAGCAGTGAATTAAACAGCATGATACTGCCAAATTCATTCAATGTGTAATTTTTTTTCTTGTGCTAATAGATACTCAGCTGAGCTATCTGCATCTGCATCTTTTTCTCATTAAAAATTGCTGGGGAGCCTGCATGTATTCACAGCAGCCAGAGAGAGGGAGCGATCAAGTAATCAAGCTCCTGCCTCTCGCAGGTTGTTGCCTTACTCGCGTTTCCCTCATTTGACTGTCACTCAGCGAGATACCACTTTCTGCCTCCCCCTTTAATCATCTGTCATCCCTGCTAATGCAAAGCGACTGCCAGGGCCATGTAGGAAATCAGCCACATCTTTAGTGTCACTTCTCATTAACATAGAAAGTCAGGTAAGAGAGGAGGGCACTCATTACTGTATATCCACAAGGACCTGGCTAAACCTCTGACAGTGAATTTCTCTACTTCCAATAAAACTGCAGTCTAAAGTTATTGGTATTTCCTGTGGCATGGCATTTTTTTTTTAAATGAGCCCAAAGTGATGTCCTGTAAGTGACAGTTGGTGCCTTTGGCTGTTCTGTAATTGGATCATTTTCATGACACTTCATAGCTCCACACAAAGATAGTCCCTGCACTGTCACCAGTCCTTTCCTATCCCCAGCTCTCACAGTATTTCGCACATCTTTCCCTCAATTCACACAGCTGGAGGAGCTCTCCACCTCACCCATATCGGGTTCTCAGGCACAGCTGTGCTCACTGCCTGCTGGTGAGTTCAATTTTGAATATTAATGAAGCTTTAGCAGATTCAAACCTGACACTCACCTGCAGTGCAGCATGCTGTAGGGAGATGTTGTTCATGTATGACAGCCCACCGTGGAGAGAGAGAGAGAAAGCTGCTGACACACTGATGTTTTAAGACTCTCCTCCATCCTCCCTACATGTATGTCATCCCTCAGCACAGTTGGCTGAAAGCCCTACATGTCAGAGCCTCAGAGCCCATGTGGGTTCACCTGTAGCACCATTTGAATCTGCTGTACACGTCTTTTTCCTCCCTGCAGTCCCAACTGTGTTCTGTTACCATGGCAACGAAAACTCTACAACGCTCTCTGGGATGCTTCTCTTGCAACGAGTCTATGGGCACAGTGGGATTGCACAGACGCATGGGCGTTAGGGACATACTGAGAGAGTGTGCCTGTAAAGTGGATTCGAATTAACTGGTTCTTATTGTTATGCTGCATAGCCAAAGTTTGATGTATCATGTCAGTAAATAAAGCACAGGTGTAAGTAATCAGTGCCGCACTGTCATGGCTAATTGGAATACTTTAATAGAACAGCGTCATCGTTAATGTTATTGATAACACCAGTGCTTTTCCTACAATGACATGTCAAAATGTCTGCTGTGAAAAAGTCCTATAAATTACCCAAGAAATTCCTTCAAATTAAATGACAAAACACTGCCCTGTAGAACAACGCGTAAAAGTGTTTTCTGATCTGATGCCCCTACTGGCAGGATGACATCATTGGCCTGTTCCTTTCAAAACTGTTTCAAATGAGTTCACAGTATGGGACTTGGCTATAGTTAAGGTTTGGTAAGGTCAAGACAAGACACAAACACAACTTAGTATTATGTATAAGATTATGATTTGGATTAAAATAAATACTTAGTTATAGTTAAGGAAACATTGTGGTTTGGATTAAAAAGACTATTTCATTAAGGCTTGGTTGGTTACAATAATAATCATGTGGGTAATGTTAGGAGAACTATGATTAAAAGAAAACCATATTGATTGCCAGTAAGAGTCTCCTGTGTTAAATGTCACATCTTGTTGACTCCAGTCCATCCCTTCATATTGAACTTCTCCCACTGTGGACGGGCTGGCCATCGTGAAGTTCGGGAAGACTACCAAACTCCCGGCCGAATAGGCTGGTGTTCACAGGGCTTTTATTTTTAAATTTCTAATGTCAGTAATTATTGTATCTATTGAGTCAATCTAAATACTTTCAGTACTGAGGGGGAAAACAACTGACCCCTCACAATTTGGACTGAGACTCGTTTTTGTTGAAATCTGATTGGCTCAGTGATTTTTGCAGAAAAATTACAAGCTAAAAAGCATAAAATGTTGCAAAATGCAGCTAAATGCTCCAAACTGACAGATCCTTTCCATGGTGGAAGGGCCAAGGCTGCTGTGGCTACTGTTAGACAGTGACTTTATACAATGATGGAGTTACAGACCGAGTCACAGAGACCAGTGGAGCGCTCCAGATTTCAGTCCTAGTACATCCCTGTGGACTATCATCACCTTACTTCTTTTACTCCCAACAGACAAGAGTCCTAATTCCTACTGCCTTAAGAGAGCACTTTGTCACTTGAACTAGGTGTCATTTTGAGGAATTTGCTGAAACAACTATAAATTCTCTTGGGAGGACAATCTAAAGTTAGATATTCACCATCTCATAACCTTTGCTGCCAGTGAAGATTTTTCCTAACCTAAGTAGCGTGATGAACTCTGACCCTGCAACCACATGAAATCTGTCAGCACGCCATGCATTACCTCCAACCTCTAGGCATGATATGAAGGCTGCCCTACATATTAAACTAGTCATGCTCTGAATTGGGGTTATCCCTGCACCCACTCCACCAGACCACCCTCTGGTTGTTTCTCCTTATGTGCACAAACAACCCTATCTGTTGTGGTAACAACGCTGTTTATAAAGGGGTCAGCTAATCCACTGTGGATTCATCCCTGCTGTTATGGCATAAAGAGGAAATGCCTCGATGCCATCATATCCAAGCATTTCTTTATGCGAAGTATGTTCTTGGCTGATTAAACTAACTGTTAGCCACCAGCTCCTTGACTTTCACTCACTGGCATTAGTTAGTATTCCCCGTCCACCTCATGGGTGCGTGTGAGCATGCTTATCATGATGTTCTGATAATCCTGTTGTAATCTGACCCAAATACTGCATTCAACTCCACAGAAATCGTGACTAATTTAATGCTATAACACTATATATACAACACAATAAATCACAATAATTGGACCCATCTCTTTCCTTCAGTGTTTTCATGAAGAATGGTTATACTTTTTTATTATTAATTAGTTCTGTGTTGTATTTTATAATTGTATCCAAAATTATTGATTTAAATACTCTGTATTAATTAACTTTAATAATGTCAACAATTATTATCAAAAGCTCATCCTATATTAGTTCACACATAGATAATCTCTTTCCCCTCTGGCATCTCCGGAGATATAATTTCTCGGGGAACAGCTGTACAAGACGCTAGATAATGCAGCCATGTTTTTGTGTGACTTTATGTGTGTTGAATTATTCAGAGGTGTGGTTGATATGGTTTTACGAAGGACTGAGCTACCTACAGCATGCGTCTGAAGCACGAGGACGTCACTGGCCGGAGGCAGCTGACATGTCCTGTCACTGTGACCTGGCACTGTCCTGCCTTTCCAGACACAGCTAAGCCTGAGCGCAATCACAGCCAAAGTGCTACACTTCACAGCCAACACAGGAAGCACAGCTAACCACACACACACACACACACACTCACACACAAGACACACATGCAGGATGGTAGCCTGTCAGTACCCCAAACCTTCCCCCTTTGGAATACTGTCACCTGTTTAGTGTTTCCATGGTGACCAAGCACACTAATGAGGTAGGGTGTGTGTTTCTGTGTGTGTATGTGTGCGTGTTGTTTACACATGGGGGGTGCAGGTGTCATGGGCAGGTGATGGGAAGCAGCATGGGCTATTACGGCTGAGTTTGACTTCATCTGCAGCAGAGAGGCTGAGAGTCTAAACCCATGCTTATGTAAAGAAAACCCAAAATGTTTGTATATACATATTAGTTAGTTCACTAAAAGGCACATTTTTAAGGTATCCATTAACAAAGAGAGGCATAAATTATATTTCTTGCCTCCATTTGTGACGTCAGACCTAATGAATCGTGAAGCCGTATGAGGCGGAATAAAGGAAGGAAACTGCGCAAAACATGTCAACCTGCAGCCAATTAACAGTGGAGAAGAAGCAGATGGCTCGTTTGGCTGCTAAAATAGGATTTTCACTGACTCTCATGACCTTGAAGACTTGCTGTCAACACGCAAACACCTCAAACTTTTGATTGGTCACAGGAGATGCCTATAAATAAGAATGCAAATCATGTCAAATGTCATATAAAAAAAGCCAGTGTTGGATTAGCCAGCAACATTTTATTACCCATTATAACAGTAGAGTAACAATGACTGAACGATAATTATGCAGAGTTGATCTTTTGTGCCATTTAAATTACTTTGTAGTAAGTCATTTAAATCGCACAGTGTCGTGTGTATGTGTGTGTGTGTGCTTGTGTATTCATGCTCCGACAAGGGCATGAGTTTGTCACCTAGAGGTGTTGACAGTGACATGTGGGAGTGGATTAGCAGAGTGGATCAATGGAGTAAGGCAACACATGTTAATCTAGTGGCCTCTGGAGTATATGGAGAGAAGAGTGCAAGATCGACGACAAAGTCACTCATCGGGTCTGAACATCTCGCTGTCATCATACGATCTGATCTTACAGAAAGAAACGTTGGTGCTCCGTTAGATAATGCTGCTGTCAACCTCGTCATCCAGTGCTTACATAGGCTAGTTTCATCTTCACTGGGTGACTTCCTCTAAATTACTTTAAATGATGACACTCAGAAATAAATTGTCCTTTATGTTACTACAGTCATTCTTTTTAATTAGCTTCAAATTTGATTGATTTCTTGTTTTTGTAACCAGCTGCACATTGTCAGACAGACTGTTTTCCACATTCCACACCTTCCACAAGCACTGAAACCAGGTCATGTAATCAAAAACCCAGTGCGGAAAGCCCACGGCCCACATCAGCTCTGCCATCTGTGAAATGGATCTCGTCTCTTCCAGACCAGGATGACAGACCCCAGGTGCAGTGACCACAACACTAAAAACCATATCTCTCCTGTTTGGGAAAAAAAAGGATTTTGGTGTGTGTGTGTGTGTGTGTGTGTGTGTGTGTGTGTGTGTGTGTGTGTGTGTGTGATAGAATGAACTTCCCCTTTTTCAGTCAGACAGACACCCTTAGGATTTGTGCTCAATAAACTCTCTGCCCTTTGCTCCTTAAAGGAAGTCCATCTGCTCTGGAGAGCGTTGAGAAGCCTCCAGGCAGCTTGTGAGATGCGTGCGTACTGTATGGTTCACCACTGATGACTGTGTGGAGATTTCCACTTCCTAAGCGGCACGTTCTTCCTTTCCAGATCCACTCAAGCTCTGTGACATGTTTAGCATTGCCAGTAATTAATGTGTGAGGCACTGCAACAAGAAGCTTCAGGTAAAGGTCATAACACCTCAAGGGGAATAGGCAACAGCTGAGGAAAATGATTGACCTCATCCACATCTGTTAGACTACTTGAGAGTCTTCTTCTGTTTAAAAATAATATTAAAAAAATCCCATAAGTCTTGTATTGTTTGAAATGTTCATACATTATAAATGTTCACAGTTTCTACCATTTAACAGCTGCAGCAGTGAAGCTACTGTACAAGCCATCACAGTTTCTTATTTTCTGTCATAACAGCTTATGTTTGTAGTTAAATCTGCTATTTACTGCACAGCACCCTGCAGGGAACAAATGTAAGCAATTATTGCTTTTCATGTGATACGTGTGCCCAGCTACAGCACACTGGAGATGTAGACAGCTTAACGTGTCTGTCAACATGATGGCATATTATTTGGTGTGTCTTGCATCCCATAATCCGCCTGGATCCTTCAACACACAGCCTGGAAGGGGAAGAGTTGCAGGGGCGGTGGTGTTAGAATACTGGAGCTTGTCAGTGTTATTTTACTGTATATTTGATCCTAAGATATGTTTAGTATCACTTACTTCAGAACTATCAAATGTGATAAAATGATATTAATAAATAGTGAAAATATTCTATCAGAAGGTGTGACCTGCCCCTCTCATGATGACTTATATATGAGAACCT